TGATGGATGTGAATTTGCCTCCTAGTTCACTTTGTGTCAATAGCTAAAACTGTGAACCTAACTTTCTCTTATTCGTGGGTAATAACTGAAAATAAAGATTTATTTTCATGCTCACTTCTTAAAAAGTTATAAAAGCAATCAAATAGGAGCCCTCATTGTCATGGGTTTCCCAGCTTCTGACCTCTGCATACCCTCAAGATGTAATGCTCATTTAAGTTTTAAAAGTATTACATTTAGGTATTATTTGATAAACTTATTTGGGAGAGATCCCCATCAGTGACAAAATTGGGAAAGTTTAAGTTCAGGTAAAATGAATTTCAAGGGTTTATGTGACGATTTTCATTTCTCTTAGAAAATCAGGTTTCCACTGAAAATCATAATGCCAGTTTTCAATGGCTAACTGGGTATAGTACTCTAGAGAGGAAATTTCTTAATGGATATAGGTTCCTTAAATAGTGTGACTGAWGTTTTGGTGAATTTTTATCTTGATGCTTTTAAATGAAAATAATATTAAGAACTGAAGCTTTTAAAGACATTTACAAGTGTACTGAAATGACTGGGGGTATGRTTTACTAGTTGAATACTATTTTAAGACTTGAGTTATTTAAGCTCTTAAAATGTGTCACAAGATAGTATACATCTAGTACCTTTATTCAATTTTATTTTTTAAAAATGGAAGTAAGAGACATCATCTCCAGGGTTGTAAATATATTGGGGACTTATATTTGGTATGGGTTTGGAGGGAGAATATTAAGTATTCATTGTTATTCTTCTAATTGATAGAGATTGCACTGAAATAGAAAAGTATTAATAGGTAGTTGCATACAAAGTCTAAATACTGTGTATTGAATTTTAAAAATRACTTTTAAGAGCACTAGCTGGTGGAAGAAACCAACAGGTATTAAAGTTAAAAAGGAGAAATGTGAAGTCGATAGATCCTGACATTGACTGAAAGGTAAGACTATGCAGGTACCTTAAAAGGACATCTGTCCCAACCTTCAGCTGATATACAGTTCTGCTTTCTAAAGAAAGTGCTTAGAAAATATATTCTAATTTGAACATTTGTAATAATAATGAGATTGATGTACAAATGATTGTTAAACCCTACTGAATGCCATATCYAAGTTTACTGAGAGCCCAGAAACTTGATTATTATTATCTTTTTGGCAAGCCTGTGCCTAGTAGCAAAGGCAGTAAAACAGTACCTGATTAAACTTTTGCAGCCTAGTAATAATCTATCAACATGATTTGCAAGACAAATTTATTAGGGCTTTGTCATTTGTTTTTCATTGTTGGGGATTGAACCCAGAGCTGCACATATGCCAAACACTACTACTGAGCTACATCCCCAGTCTGTCAGGGTTTGTTGAGATAATGGCAGCTGTAAGAAATTGGGTGGTTACTTTTTGCTTAGCTGTGTGGGTTGGGAGGTACCGTTTACCTTGGGCAGGATTCTTTGGACCTGAGACCCTAATTGGTTTTGAAGGTTGAGAATTAGTAAGTCAGGTGGAGGAATTAAATCCAAGAATATAGTGAAACAAGGTTATAACCTGTGCATAAGAAGCTTAAAGTGCTATATCTAAACAATCTATGAGCAAACTTTAGCCTGTGGTCTGTTTTTTACATTCCTGAGTTTTCGTTTTTCTTTTTTTGTGGTCCTGGCACTTGAACCCAGGGCCTTAGAAATACTAGGCTGCACTCTTATCACTGCATTCCTGAGCTAAGAATGGTTTTTAATAGTATTGAAGGGTTAAAAGCAAAAAAAACACAAAAATGTTGGTAGTCCACAAAGCCTTTGTGTGGCCTTTTCCATAAAGTGTGTGCTGTATTCTTACTCAAGCTGTTTCTTCCAAGTCAGCATCTAAGAGCTCTTTGAAAATAAAACAGTTCAAGGTACAAGCTAGATCCTACCTCACAGGAAGTTATGAAATAAATTCATACTTTGATGTCTATAATCAGGAAAGGGATGAATTAACCTGATRGCTTTTTAAGGCTGATTTTGTTTCTTCAAATAAAAATTGTCTAGCAACTTAAATGTATGGATCTGCTATAAAAGTTATCACAATACCATGAGGTTTCACATTTAGTAGTGCTCATATCAATGCTCAGGTGTTGCTAATCAGTTTTTCCATAAGAATTATGCATATCTTACATAGGCAAAAAACAAAAATAACCTGGCACCAAATTAGTAATTTCTCATAACACTTTTTCTGCCTGACATGGTGGCATACCTGCCTGTAATCCTAGTCACTTGGGAGGCTAAAGCAAAAGGATTGCAAGTTAAAAGGTCAGCCGGGGAACTTGGAAGACTCAAAAAGTAAAAAGGACTGGGGATGTAGGTCAGTAGTTGAGCATCCCTGGATGTCATCCTCTCAATAAAATGAAGCAAAATTTTTATAGTGTTTGTGATACGTACTAAGTAACTGGGAGTCCACTTTTAAATAGAAGGAAAAGGTGAGAAGTGACAGTTGAAAGTTGGTAATTTGCACAGTTTTCTTCAGTTATTAGGTATCAAGTCAGTAACATCCCTTTTGCTGCCCATGTGGGAGGGTATGGCAGTTCCTATTGCATTTGCATAGATAATTCCTAGGTTTTGTATGTGGAAGACAAACTGTAGATGATTGGTTCACGCCATGTGAACCAGGTCTGAGACAACTACTGTGAACTGACCTTGTGGCCTTTATTACCTGTTACTGGTGTGGAAATGTTGAGTAAAGGGCTGATATTCAGGATTCTGATGTTAGAAAAAAACGGGAAGTTGCTTTGGACAATTATATGGTTTTATACTGTATCACTTCAATTGTGGTAGCTGATTCTTGCCATTTGCCTGATATCAGATTGGGACTAAATRTTCTATTAGCTAATGAGTAAAGTCAGAAAATTTTTGTTTTATTTTGGGAACTCTGCATATTGAATTCATTTTACACCTGGGTTGTAATCACACATGTTGATCAGCCATGTGATAATACTTAGACAAGTGCATGTTAAATGTTTATCAGAATATTAACATTGCTGGATTATTTTAGAAATCACAAAATTCATCCAAGAAGATGAATGTTTTTATTTTCCCCCATTACATGGCCAAAAGTGTTTGGGCTTTCATGATTCACATATAACAACTATTAGGAGGTAGATAATTGTCCATTTCCCCTGGGAATTCRGAATTTCTA